CTATTTATTTGGATATTAACGTATTTTATATTTATGCTTTTTACTTAATATTAAATTTATTTACATTATCTCATATATTTAATAGTGTTAAAAACCGATTAATCCGACCGAACCACACCGATCCGATTTAAATTGGATTAATTTAGTTATCATATAATAGTGAATTGGATTGATTTAAAAATTTTACCAACTGATTAAATTGGATTAGATTAAAAAATGCTAAAATCCAAACCAAACCACACCGCAAACACCCCTAGTAAAATGTTCACCCGATCTGAGAACCAATTGCTAACAACTAACTTATATTAACTTACTAACTATTACACTTGTCAAAAAAAAAAAAAAAACCGAAAAAGAAAGAAAGAAAAGGAAACAGCATTTCCACACAACCAGAGAACAGCAAAGGAATCAAATCAGAGACAGTCAACACAAGGGAATCAACAGTGATTGAAAACTTTTCACTTGGATGGCAGCAGCCATCTAAAGAAAACAGAACCATAAGAGAGATAGAGGAATTTAACCATAGTGCTGAACTATGAAAGTAACCCAGGTTCAAAAATACTGACACAAGTCAAAATTAAAAATGGATGGAAACATAAAGACAAAATCCAAATATCCCACTAAAAACAGCTCACTTTCCACCCTTTTTGGCAGCAGACTTGGTGACCTTGGCACCAGATGGATCCTTCTTCTCTACATTCTTGATGACACCAACAGCCACAGTCTGGCGCATGTCTCTCACAGCAAATCTTCCAAGAGGTGGGTACTCAGAGAAAGTCTCCACAACCATAGGCTTGGTGGGAATCATCTTCACCATTCCAGCATCACCATTCTTCAAGAACTTGGGCTCCTTCTCAAGCTCTTTGCCAGATCGTCTGTCAATCTTAGTCAGGAGCTCAGCAAATTTGACAGCAATGTGGGAGGTATGGCAATCGAGCACTGGAGCATATCCATTTCCAATCTGCCCAGGGTGGTTCATGATGATGACCTGAGAGGTGAAGTTGGCAGCTTCCTTGGCAGGATCATCCTTAGAGTTGGAAGCAACAAAGCCACGTTTCAGATCCTTAACAGCAACATTCTTCACATTGAACCCAACATTGTCACCAGGGAGAGCCTCCTGGAGGGCCTCATGGTGCATCTCAACAGACTTAACTTCAGTGGTCAGACCAGAAGGACCAAAGGTCACAACCATGCCAGGCTTAAGGACACCAGTTTCAACACGACCAACTGGGACAGTTCCAATGCCACCAATCTTGTAGACGTCCTGAAGGGGAAGACGGAGTGGCTTGTCAGAGGGCCTCTTGGGCTCCTGGATCAAGTCCAGGGCCTCAAGGAGGGTAGGACCCTTGTACCAGTCAAGGTTGGTAGACCTCTCAATCATGTTGTCACCCTCAAAACCAGAAATGGGGACAAATGGGATCTTCTCAGGGTTGTAACCAACCTTCTTCAGATAGGAAGAGACTTCCTTCACAATTTCATCATATCTAGCCTTGGAGTATTTTGGAGTTGTAGCATCCATCTAAACACAAGGGATAACAAGCATTAGTTCAAGCAATAGTTTCAAACTTCAAAAGAGCAATTACAAGAAGGAAATTAAAAAATGATATTACAGAGATGATATCCCTTGAGTAAGTCACAAATCTCACCTTGTTGCAGCAGCAAATCATCTGCTTCACACCAAGGGTAAAGGCAAGCAAAGCATGCTCACGAGTCTGACCGTCCTTAGAGATACCAGCTTCAAAACCACCAGTGGTGGAATCAATAATGAGAACAGCACAGTCAGCCTGTGAGGTACCAGTAATCATGTTCTTAATAAAGTCACGATGCCCAGGAGCATCAATGACAGTGCAGTAGTACTTGGTAGTCTCAAACTTCCAGAGAGCAATATCAATGGTGATACCACGCTCACGCTCAGCCTTAAGCTTGTCCAACACCCAGGCATACTTGAATGACCTTTTGTTCATCTCAGCAGCTTCCTTCTCGAACCTCTCAATCACACGCTTGTCAATACCACCCAACTTGTAGATCAAGTGACCAGTTGTGGTCGACTTGCCAGAGTCGACATGGCCAATGACCACAATGTTAATGTGAACCTTCTCCTTACCCATTATAAAACTTGGGAAAGAATCTGAAATTCCCAACACAGAGTAATCATAAAAAAATAAAATAGTCAGTAAAATATCAAAAAGAAAATTCATTTGAACAAAACTAAATGGTTAAAACATAGAATATCCTTATTGGAAGAGTACACTCAGATATCATCTTTATACTTCTACACAGAATATACACTGCAGTCAAATTTCCCAATTTTCTACAATTAAATCTAAGGAATATCATGTGACTGCTGGGGTTCGAGCCCAGGTCCTCCACAAAAGCGGAGTTCTTCCCACTGAACTACAGCCACAAAATCCATGCATATTTTTAACCCATCAAAACAACTGAGCCTGAGGACAGCTGATAACAACCAATAACAGTGGCTTATCAGCCTAAATCCAAAGCCCAAATCTGTTTCAAAAGATGGGTTTTACAGAAACATGCATGTAAAACTAAATACACAACTTCAACAATCTTAGATCCACTTAAACTGATGCCCACCAAAAATCAATTTCTACGATAAAATGAAATCAAATCCTCGATTTTAAAGATTGAAATTTCCCAATAACTAAAAATCAAAACATGCACTAACTTATAAAAAAAAAAAAGAAAAAGGAATATCAGATCCAAAACCAAACAACAATCGGAATCAGATCAAACTCTTAAACACAGATCTTAATCCTATACTTGCCCTCAAAGATTAAATCAGATAATAAACATCGAGAGAGAAAAAAAAATAATAATAAAACAGAAACAGACGAACAGTACACACAGTGAAGATATATACATACGAAAACCAAATGAAATCGGCTTTTCTTCAAATCAAAGCAACTAGATGAAGAAGATTGATTTTACCTCTAAGCTAACAAAGGAACTGTTGAAATCACTTGCGTTGAAGCCCTCCTACAGAGAAAAAGAGCGTAGATAGCAAGCGATAGGCAGTAAGGGATGCGGCTGCTTCAGATTAAATGCTGGTGTTGTGGGGTTTGCTAAAATTAGGGTTTTCTTTTCAGCCGTTGGATTACTCGATCGCACGGTTCTAGACAGAGAGCTCGTCTCCGCCGTTTAAGGTTTTTGATGTTTCATCGTGCGTTCAAGATCCTTCCACGTTAGATTATACGTAGGCTCCTATGTGAATATCTTCTAAAATTTATGGAATAATTATTTAGATAGTCCCTGAAAAAACTTTTACTTTGAATTTAAGCCCCCAAATTTTAGTTTAGCTTAATTTAAGCCTCGAACTGTACACCCATTTAACTTTTGGGACAATGTTGTTGGCACGAAGCAAGTGATTGCTATGTCAGCTTCCTTATTTGATGTGAAAGCTAACGTGATATGTTGGAGAAAACAATCATTGTTTATGGCAAAACCTTTATTAAGTCCTAAACTTATATCAAAATTTCAATTAAACCCTTAAATTTTTATTAAAGTTAATAAATCTATAAACTTGATAAT